TTCAATCAAAGCCGACTCATGCATTCAACTTTGCAACACCATCCATTTATAGCTCCCGACGGATCATCACTCGATTCTCAGGATGCAACACTCGGGCCAACAAGGATCCGTTGAAGTTTTAAACTATTTTTCTCAGTATTTGCTATCTGTTTCTTCTAGTCTGTCTTGTTCTATTTTCCTCAGATGCAATTCCAATTTTTCTCAAATAAAGGTTTTCGTCAATTTTTCTTCTTTGTACCTTCCCCAAATAGTGGTTTACTTGTTTCATTGGCACAAAATGTTGACAGGTTGCGAGCCGTCAGCCCTAACTAAGTTGATAGATTTCATACGCATCTGGTAGAGTGGTTAGGTCTGTTCTTCGAGGAAGCACGGGCTACTGAGCAGGTCAAAACATGCGTTCCCTGTCCAGCGGTATTTGCAGTATGATCGACCTTACACAGCATGCGCCAATATACGTTATTCTACTCTACCGGTATCGGATTCCCTGTTTAGTTTGCTGTATTATTTGTCAAATCTTTCTGGATAGGCGCTGATGAGCGGTTGTCCCCTAACAACCGTACTTCTGTTCATCGGCCGATTTTACACGGTCCCTAAATTTTGTTTCCAGCGGGGATCTGGACGTGCTTCGCCCCTTGTGATGGTGACACTATGATGCGCGTAGGTGGACCTCTTCAGTTTTCACTTTCATGCGCTAGCTAGTCCACGAACTTCCGGCTGTCAATGAGGGCTTCGCTGTCGTTGCAGCTATGTATATGCTGTCCTCTGTTTACCGGTTGTTTCCTTTGGTTGTTTTTAACGGGTTCTGCTAACTCCCGATTATGGTCAACCATGTTACGTTGACGACCATTTTATTGTTCGCTGTTCTTACTGTAGACCCAGACAATAGATGTTATGTACAGAGGTTTAATTCAAACCACAGAAAACGGGATTCAGCGTTCATCTACCATGGTAAACGTCAATCCAGTATTTACTTTAAAGAATACGCTGTTTTTCAAACCGCAATTTTTATTCCGGAACTGTGTGACTCTGTGTCTAAAAGACAGATTTTTACCGAAATTGATATTTAGTTCTCCCTATCTGGAACCTCAGAATTGCTTTCGATAAAATGATACTGGCACTAGGTTCTGACTAGTACAAAGAACAAAGTGCATTGTGACTACCTTAGATCTAATGTATTTTCAGGGGTGCTTCAAGTTCTGTGGTTAGGCCACCTTTTAACGGGCTACTTCATTTGCTTGTTATTGTACTTTGAGCATTTTGAAGACTTATTACATTTTTATACACAAGACTCCTCAACATGGTCCTGTTCTTATCCCGACCATTCTAGTTAGATTAGACCAACAGAGAATTGTCAGTCGTGGGTTTCGCTAATCATGTGTTCCATCAGTTGCGGAGGAATTTCAGCTCTGATAAACGTGCTTTCGCTAATCTGAGGTAATTGTACCATGGAAATGTTCTGGGCACACATGTAAGTCCAACTCTCAGTGAAACCAGACCGTAGAGGTAAGAGGCAGTTCGGTGGCGAGACCGATTCTTCGGCTTGACACTCACCACTCGTGACCCATTTTCCGTGTGTTATTTGCCATGTCTGTGGAAGCACAAATCTTGTATCGTATTTGGTTAGGAAATAAAATGGTGTACACAACAGCTATGGGGCCACATGGGGTGAATGTGTACAAGACTTGGTCGCATTTTCGCTCACATGAAGACATTTCCGACCCAACTATCCACTACGCATGTTCACTTTTTCCTGCTCACACCCACTCGCGCAGTAAAATCTGGAATCAGCCGGAGCGTGGCATCCATGTAGGAAGTCAAGGAAAAGTTACCACTGATATGCAGAGATAAATGGTTGAGAAAGTGAACGTTAATTGAGTTGACCCGAAGCCGCTTGGACCGTCTGCTATCGTGCAGCTCATGAAAAGCAGAAGGGTAACTTCGGCCATTGTGCTTAAAACCATCCCACCAGAAACGCAGTTTTTTTAATGAGACAGTTATTCTACGAGATGCCCTACGCTTTGACAATTTATTCACTCTGGTGACTTTATATAGAGACATTATATAATAAGGACCACATAGCAAACGTTAAATAGTTCATGTCATGTTGATGGGGCTTATTCCCGTAGACAGCAAGACTAAGTCACGCCGGACCAAAGGTAAATGATCGACTGACCATTGTCTGTGCGCGGTGTGAAATTCAACATAATATGCCTTAGAAGAAAGATGAAGGAAGTGTGTTGCCCAAGGTGAACATGTCAAGTTGATCACATTGAATCACTCCACACTAGTTAATTTCAGGTTACCATGTCGTTACCAGGCTAACGCGAGCCTGACCATCAGTTTTCTCTGAGTGCATATAAGGGACGTCAGGTGGCTGGTGACTACAACTCCCTCAATCGGAAACCTGTGCACATGCATAATCATATATGAGGTGAAAGTAAATAATGCGATGAGGGGATCTGTGACGTTGCTAATTGCGTTTATGGACTGTCAGAGACAGATGTCCGTACACATTTCGTGTTCCAAAATTCCCTATTGTTTGGTCTTTGGATTCACAGATGTATTCGACGTGATAAACTAGGCTTGACACATTGGCTGTTGCTCTTTTCCCGAGCTTGGCGACCGTCTTATGCACTTCGTCAAGTTGCGAGGTTAGGTGTATGTTTCCTCCGCTTTTGCTCGCCTTTGTATAGCTATTAAGGAGCGATTGATATCCACAACGCAATTGGTTGTTTTTGGGTCATCTGGCACTTAATTGTTCATTTTCTGACTCCCGTTCCACCATTGCCTGATTGGCTTGAATCTGGGTGGTCCGTTGTGCGCCTCAAATTCATTACCTCTGTCTCACTATTCCGAGTGATTTATCCCTTTTTCTTATACGTTGCCTTCCAACCAGCCTTCCTGTCATTTGATTTGTCGACTGGGCATCTCCGATATGATTGGTCCGTTTACAGTTTGTTTTATTCTGTAACCTGGTTGGCGATGGAGGGCCTTTTCTGTTTGACGCAATCTCCGCCTAATATTTCGTTGGATCTCTGAATTCTGTGTACTTTCAGTATTCTTGATTGTTGTCCAGAGTTTTGCCTCCTCGTAATGACGCCCGTCGATATTTTCTTCGGCTTGTACGGTTACGAGCCCCAGTGCTTCGAAGTACACTGTTTCTGAGAGATCGACAGATTGAGTCGATTGGAAAAACCTAGTGGATTCGTACCGGATAGTGAAGCCAGTGGCAAAAATCGAACGGGCTCTTCCTCTAAAATGGCTCGGCTGTTAGGACTAGGCTGTTAGCACTCAACTGCTAAGCCGCACAAAACGATGTGCAGGCAATTCTGTAGTCTGTGGTGCTATTTGGACATCACCTACTTGGTAGGAGCTTCATCCTCCGAGAAAACCACTAATCGTCCTAATAATTGCAGTAATTTACAGACACGCAATGCTTATATGAACCCCTCGTGGGCATGACGGACTACATATCTCTCAGCCGAGAAAGGACACAGAAATCGATGTCGACTCCTAGGTGGCCGAATGGAAATCACGGAAACATTATCACTTAGATGACAGTCTTTGCGGCTGAGCTTGTTAAATTCGCGAATTAAAAATGGTGACAAAAGGTGGAGATTTATTATAACTCCATAAGGTATGTAGAGAGCCCACAGAATAGAAAAGTAAATGGTAAGCACAAGCTATCAGTCAATGTGGTTAAGGTCTCTGTTGAACGACGTGATACTCATACACACCTAATACATTCGGGACACGGACATTACTACTCTCATCCCAAACATGACGTCCGCTATGCGGCTACCTAGAAAGTGAAGTGTCAGTGCAACGGTTGCACGGCAAGGCTACATCCAATCTGATGGCGCGCCCGCAACCACCCTCCACTGTATACTGGGGCCTACTTGTTCTTACGCCTCCAACAACGAATACATTCTTTACTTGGTGCTAGCCGCCTATGGAACGAGTTCACTGTAACAGGCTGTGCAACTCGCCCGCATCTAACCGCCCAGATGGGCCTCCAGTTTATGCTCGCCACACAGTCAGTCATTTTTCCTAGGGATCATGTCCTGTCCTGCGCATTTTCACAAACTCACTCTCCCGAGGAACCTTTGCATAAGAGTCGGCTCTAAAAGCAATGCCAATTAGTTTACACAGTTCCACTGTTCGCCGTGATTCTGATATTCAAGCTACCCTATATCCGTGAAAGGAAGAGGCTCTTCGCTGCGGCCTTTTTTCTTGGAAAACCAACTAAATAGTTACAGACTATTAGGCAGGGAAGCAAAACACTGTTATTCATCTTGTTTATAAAAACTGAATATCCGTACTATCGAATGCGTCTTCCTGAAATTTCTGGATAATCAATGATTATCACTCAAAAGTAAACGAATACTACGAAGCAACAAATTTCGTAATAAGTCTCTTTTTTTTAACGGACGCGAACCGAGAAGACATGCCTAAACAGTGATACCAATGTTACACATCACTCCTTCGCATGCCACCGATTTTCATTTACATCCCTTAGGTCGGCTTCAGCAACTGCCATATCCAGCCGCTTTTTGGGTGTATCATGCAAATTAGGAATCTGAGTTCCAATTACCCTTTTCGAACCCGAACGTCTTGAATTGTATAGACGTTTCCGAGGCGGTCGGTAACGACAAACGGACCTTGCAATCAACTTCCCAGCTTCCGCTATCGCGGTCCGCTCCTTCCAGGATTCTGATGATTCTTCCACTTGACCTTCGCGTCCATGGGGAATGGTTGTATTTTTCTACTCGCCGTTTTCTGCCTAGTCCTGTCCTGAACGGCGGTCGAGTATTCTCGAGCTTTCGTCCTATCTTCCTCTAGCTCCTCCGGGGACAAGGGTGTTGCCAGCCACAACAAAATTTCCTGGGAAACCGTAGGGCGCGGATGTCGACCGTACTTATCCGTGGGACTTATCTGTGGTTGGTTGTATGGATGCACGATGAGCTAGCAACACCATTGGCAGGTTCACTTTCCAGTCACATCCTTTTGCTGCCAGCCACTTCCCGTTAGTTCGGCTATTGTGTTCGGTTAGACCATTTGTTTGCAGGTGGTATGTTGCCGTCCTTAGCCGTCTGATACGCAGCTTCCGCAAGTAATTCCTAAACTCTTCACTCTCAAAGGAAGGCCCCTAATCGGTTAGGATCATTTTTGGCACCTCATATTTGGCCACGATGTGATGCATTACCACTCCGCTGATCGTCA